TAATAAATGCCCCTGGATCAGTGGGAGTAATAAATGCCCCTGGATCAGTGGGAGTAATAAATGCCCCTGGATCAGTGGGAGTAATAAATGCCCCTGGATCAGTGGGAGTAATAAATGCCCCTGGATCAGTGGGAGTAATAAATGCCCCTGGGTCAGTGGGAGTAATAAATGCCCCTGGATCAGTGGGAATAATAAATGCCCTGGTGTCATTGGAAGTAATAAATGCCACTGGATCAGTGGGAGCAATAAATGCCTCTGGGTCAGGTAGCAGTAATAAATGTATCTGGATCACTGGGAGTAATAAATGTCCTGGTGTCAGTGGGAGTAATAAATGTCCTGGTGTCAGTGGGAGTAATAAATGCCCCTTGATCAGTGGGAGTAATAAATGGCCCTTGATCAGTGGGAGTAATAAATGGCCCTTGATCAGTGGGAGTAATAAATGCCCCTTGATCAGTGGGAGTAATAAATGCCCCAGGGTCAGTGGGAGTAATAAATGCCCCAGGGTCAGTGGGAGTAATAAATGCCCCTGGGTCAGTGGGAGTAATAAATGCCCCTGGATCAGTGGGAATAATAAATGCCCTGGTGTCATTGGAAGTAATAAATGCCACTGGATCAGTGGGCGCAATAAATGCCTCTGGGTCAGGTAGGAGTAATAAATTTCTCTGGATCACTGGGAGTAATAAATGTTCTGCTTCCAGTGGGAGTAATAAATGTCCTGGTGTCAGTGGGAGTAATAAATGCCCCTGAGTCAGTGGGAGTAATAAATGTCCTGGTGTCAGTGGGAGTAATAAATGTCCCGGTGTCAGTGGGAATAATAAATGTCCTGATGTCAGTAGGAGTAATAAATGTCCTGGTGTCAGTGGGAGTAATAAATGCCCCGGTGTCAGTGGGAGTAATAAATGTCCTGGTGTCAGTGGGAGTAATAAATGCCCCGGTGTCAGTGGGTGTAATAAATGCCCCGGTGTCAGTGGGAGTAATACATGTCCTGGTTTCAGTGGGAATAATAAATGTCCTGGTGTCAGTGGGAATAATAAATGTCCTGGTGTCAGTGGGATTAATAAATGCCCCGGTGCCAGTGGGAATAATACATGTCCCTGGATCAGTGGGAGTAATAAATGCCCTGGTGTCAGTGGGAATAATACATGTCCTGGTGTCAGTGGGAATAATACATGTCCTGGTGTCAGTGGGAATAATACATGTCCTGGTGTCAGTGGGAATAATACATGTCCTGGTGTCAGTGGGAATAATACATGTCCTGGTGTCAGTGGGAATAATACATGTCCTGGTGTCAGTGGGAATAATACATGTCCTGGTGTCAGTGGGAATAATACATGTCCTGGTGTCAGTGGGAATAATACATGTCCTGGTGTCAGTGGGAATAATACATGTCCTGGTGTCAGTGGGAATAATACATGTCCTGGTGTCAGTGGGAATAATACATGTCCTGGTGTCAGTGGGAATAATACATGTCCTGGTGTCAGTGGGAATAATACATGTCCTGGTGTCAGTGGGAATAATACATGTCCTGGTGTCAGTGGGAATAATACATGTCCTGGTGTCAGTGGGAATAATACATGTCCTGGTGTCAGTGGGAATAATACATGTCCTGGTGTCAGTGGGAATAATACATGTCCTGGTGTCAGTGGGAATAATACATGTCCTGGTGTCAGTGGGAATAATACATGTCCTGGTGTCAGTGGGAATAATACATGTCCTGGTGTCAGTGGGAATAATACATGTCCTGGTGTCAGTGGGAATAATACATGTCCTGGTGTCAGTGGGAATAATACATGTCCTGGTGTCAGTGGGAATAATACATGTCCTGGTGTCAGTGGGAATAATACATGTCCTGGTGTCAGTGGGAATAATACATGTCCTGGTGTCAGTGGGAATAATACATGTCCTGGTGTCAGTGGGAATAATACATGTCCTGGTGTCAGTGGGAATAATACATGTCCTGGTGTCAGTGGGAATAATACATGTCCTGGTGTCAGTGGGAATAATACATGTCCTGGTGTCAGTGGGAGTAATAAATGCCCCAATGTCTGTCATTAACAGGAGTAATAACTGTCAGTGGTCAGAATGGTGCCCCTGTGACAGTGGTTATTGGGAATGCTACAGCCGGGACTACAGACACCATCAGGAAGCAGATCACTGCACCTAGTAGTGTCTGTTACATTTCTGATAGTTGGAATGATCTACATTCCAGCATCTGGCACCTGCTACCACTCTGCATACAGCAGCTCCATCCTTCTGACTTGCAATGAGAGATCCCTGCATGCAGGACCTTCTTATTGCAATGGCTGGTCTACAGAATCCAGCAAGCCCTAGTTTGTATAAATGTATAATAATATAAATGTATAATCATTTTGTCTGAAGTTGGGCTTTAAGATGTAGAAATAACGATACTAATTAAATTAATGAAAGAATTAAACTCTTCAGAGCAATGAGACTTCTGGCACAATTATCTTATAATCCAGGGGTCCTCAAACTTTTTAAACATGAGGCCAGTTCACTGTCCCTCAGACATTGCTGGGGGCCGGATCATAGTTTAAAAAACAGGGGGGTGGGGGGGGGGG